AAGAGAGAGATGGGCATGCGCTTTCATAATAAAACAGGATAATTAAACGTTTTTGCAAAAAAAAAAAATAAATTAAAAAATTTTTTTTTCAAATGGGCGCTTGGGGAAAAACCCCTTTTGGTTTTTTTTTTCCCCGAAAAAAAAAAAAAATTAAACTCCCTCAGTTCCCCTTGAAAGCAAATCAAAAAAACATTTAGTTCCCCGCAAAAGCTGTTTGTATTTGGTTTTTTCTGGGTTAATTGAGAACTGACATTTTGGCATGTAAATAGGGTGGGGGTCTAATTAAATGTGGCCTGGTTTAGGGGCGACCCCGGGATCGGTTAATCCAGTAAGAAGTACGATAAGTTAAATTTAAGCTGCCAAATCAAACGACGAAGTTTTATAATCGATCTCCATCGTATCTTGTTCCTCCGCTTGTACTTTCCATTCCTAGCATATTTTTGTCCAGTTATTTTTTCGCATGGGAAAGATAATTTTTGTCTTAATCTAAGCAGTTTTTTAATTAAATACCCCTAAAATTATATAGATTTTTTAAAAAATACTCTCAACGCCAAACCCTGATTGCCTCATTAACAATGAGATACAATCGAAGGAACTACGTTGAAATTAACAGGCGTAATTGTAAGAAGATATCCTAAAAGCAACCCGTCTCTATTTGGCCCTCGAAAAAACTTAATTCCTAATCCACCTTTGTCTATCTTCCATATACGGAAGTTTAGGTGACCCATAACGGGGTTCTTGGGATAAATTAATTCTGGGTAGTTTCCCGTTGCCTTACTGATATGATGCTGATGATAGGTTGAAAGGACGCACACAATACAACGGCATAGCCGAGGCGGACCTCGAACCCGCGATCTTTCGGTACGAGATCGCTAAGGCAGCTACTATGCCTTAGCGATTCTGCACCCTGGGGATCGGGGCACCTAATCGCATATGATTTTATACTAAAAATCCGCTGGCCATTGAAACTGTTCGATGCTCCCAGCATCAGCATGATGAGAAACCTGTGTGACTACGCATCATCGGAACCGACCACCCGAGAACATCTCGACACCCATTGGAACATAATACCCAAATCCCCAAAGTCCTGAGATTAACTGACAAAAGAACTTGGTTAACAAATCAACCACACATTTACACAAACTTAGATATTCTTCTTCGATATTCAGAAAATAGTATACGATCTCATCGGAGACAAAAACTGCTATTTTATTTATTTTGTAACTTGGTCAGCATTGGTTGAAGAATAGCTCCTTCTCAGGCTACTCAGAAAATTATAGAAGTGATTTGGTTTTCGGGACTTTTTTCCAATTATACAAACTACTCGGAGCCCCCGTAAAAAACATGAAACACACAACATCAAATGTTAAACACAGAGATTAATTGTGATAAAATCATGGATGTTTTTTGTTGAAAACGACATCGATGTCCAGCCCTGGCGCGCAGTGTGTTGCGTGCCGTCGCCTTCGTATTCATAAAATGTGGGCGGAAAGCGGGCGCGGGCCGCGGCGCGCGCTGCGCCCGGAATAGGCGGCGTAATTGTTCGTTGAGCGAGGATGCGCGCGCGAAGAGGGGACGGCAAGGCGACGTTTCGCGGAAAACCATACTTCCTCCCTCCGCCGCCTCCCCGACGTCATCGGGTGCGTTGATAACGCGGCGCGGGGAACGTGTTGGGGGGGCCGAATTGCGCTGCGGCTGCCGTCGCGCCCACTTCCGGAAATAGACACGCGGCCAACGGACGCGGGGAGCCGCGCAAGGGGAGGGGGCGTACTTGAATTGAATTTGCCTTATTTTAACGTGGCGAGACTCGGCCCATCGGGCCCGCTCAATCGCAGTCTGACCACTCATATTTCGCTACGCTCTTTTCAATCAATCTAGGCATAGAAAAAGGAGGTATTTCTTAGGCGAGAAAAAGGCGATTTGAATTTAGCTCAGAGGCGTCATTTAGCTTGAGGATCTTTTTTCATGCAAGTAAAATTCTACCCCCCCCCCCAACACGTCCCCGCGCCGCGTTATCAACGCACCCGGGATGAGTCGGGGAGGAGGGAGGGAGGAAGTATTTTCCGGAACGTCGCCTGCCGTCCCCTCTCGCGCCGCATCTCGCTCAACGAAACAATTACGCCGCCTATTCCGGGCGCACGCGCGCCGCGGCCCGCGCCCGCTTCCGCCGACATTTAAATACGAAGGCCGACGGCACGCAAACACACTGCGCGCTAGGGATGCGACATCGATGTCGTTTTCAACACAGAGGATTTTATAAATTCATCGGTGTTTAACATCAATGTTCTGTGTTCCATGTTTTTACGGGGATCGATATTTTATAATTGGAAAAAAGTCCACAACAAAATACTACTATAATTTTCTGATATCCCCAGATGGAGTATTATTCAAACCAATGTGACCTAACGTAAAAATAAATAAAATATTTTTTGTCCATAACTAAGTTTATATTATTTTCTGAAGTACCGAAGAAGAATATCTAAGTTTCGTAAATTGTCCTTGTGTTTTGTTGACAGTTCTTTTGTCAGTTAAATCTCAGATTGGGGATTTGGGTATATGTTCAATGGTGTTGAGATGTCCCGGGTGGTGGTTCCGATGTTGGTAGCACACAGGTTACGGTTCATGCTGACGGTTGGGAGCATTAAACAGTGCAGCGGCGTTCATGCCAGCGGATTTTTAGTATTAAATTCCTAACTAGGTGGATTAGGTATGAAGTTTTTGATGGCCAAATTGGGACGGGTTGCTTTGAGGATATCTTCACATTACACCAGTGATTTCAACGTAGTTCCTTCGATTTATCTCATTGTAATGGCATTCAGGGTTTGGGATACTTTTTTAAAAAAATTAAAAATGTTTAGGGTATTTTAATAAAAAACTGTAGATTAAGATGAGAAATTATTTTTCTCCAGGGAAAATAACTGGACAAAATATGCTAGGGATATGGAAAGTACAGCGAGGGCAAAGACGATGGTGATCGATTATAACTCGTCGTTTGATTTGCTTAATAACTTATCTTTTCACGTTGACGAATCCAAAGAATATTTCGGGACCTTTCGCTCTTTTTCGACGTACTCTAGTACTTAAAGTTTTCTCGTTTAGATAAACCAAGAAGGCGAATGTACTCAATTTTATCGTACTCTACTGGATAACCGATCGGTCGCCGTAACAGCACATTTAATCGACACGATATATTGCGAAATGTCAGTCTCAATGCCAGAAACAATATAACAGCTTTGCGGAACCAAATGCTTGATGCTCGGACTGAGAGTAATTTTTCGGAACAAAGAAAATAATATCAAAAAGTAATATCCAGTGTTATGAAAGAAATGCCGATACTACTTTCAGAAAACGCATACAACACACATTCCCAACGAAACCAGGAGTGTTTTAAAACTACAAAATCATTGTTTGTCCTTTTTTTCAAAGCTGTCTCTCGCGAATTATGGTGCTCACGTAACAGGCATGCATTTTTAACTGCATCTTTACGACCTTTTAAAAATCCGAAACATACACAGTCCCCACAAGACGAAGACAAACTAATTAGAGAATAGAGATACGGCTTTATCTCAAAAAATGGCATGCACATCCCGTAGTTTTAAACTAACACAAATAGCATGCGACTATTTCGCAGTCACGAGACAGAAAGATGCACCTTCTCGGCGCATTTTGGAATGCATAAGATGAGGCCCTACATCCACCCTAATGAATATGTATTAAATAGCGTTGCCGAGCGGTTGACGATTGAAACCCCAAATAGCATCTACTGGCCGCACAAATCTCCAAGCAGTTTCCGACATCCCATGAAAGCACACGCACTTTAAACCGGTACCGTCTCCTTCCGTTTCTAATGAACAGCCAGCGCAAGTTAACAGGCTAGGGGCGGGGAGGGCGACTGCATCGCTCGAGGACCACAACACCGTCCGTCAGGAACGAAGATGGGCATGAAACGAGCACAGTAGCAGGCCGATCCCAATTAAGGAGACGCATGACGTTTCCCAGTGGAGATAGGCAAGGGGCGGGAGCAATCATTCAATGGAAGGCGCCGGACACTGCTGCCGGCGGCGCACCCGATCCATCTGGGCCGTCGGATGCGGGGGGCGGAGCGCTATGGCGAGGGGAGGAACGGCCATGGCATCGCTAGGCCAGCAGCCTAGCACCCATTGGGTATGATATGGCTCCGAAATATAGTTAAGGTTACGAGTTATATCATACAGTCCGTTAATTCACACATTGGCCAGCCTGTATGGTTAAAGCCCTAGGAAAAACGATGAATGCATCTCTTCGGACGCTATCCGGGTAATGCTGGCTGGCATTGGCCTCCGAGCTACTTCGGAGCCTCGTCGTCCCCGACTCGGAAATCCGGAGCGAGCGTCAACCCAAGTATACATGCTATCGTGTAAAAATAAATCTACGACTGACACTCGAAACTGCACACCGTGACTCGCTTTAGAAAGTTTCCACCACATTCCAGTTTATTACGTAACTTTATTATTAGTGAATTAGCCAGATTCCAACTCTAGCCGCAACAAATCAGGTACGGCGTCTAACAACAAAAGCCGACGGGCCGACGATATCTGGAGATACAGTGCACTATCAATTTTTCAGCAGCATGTGCGGCGGGGACTTGGGAAAACAATGCAGTGGCGTCAGTGGGACCGACTAGCCATGTTGCACTTCACGCTGTTCGATATATGGTAATAAGGATACCAATATAAAGAATTTTAAACATACCACCGCGTACAGCAATCTCTGCGCAGATTTTGTAAGATCCTTTGATCGCTGTAAAACTATTGCTGAAAAAAATCCCTAGTTTTCTAAGAACAGAATCTTATATCGACAAGCCTTTATTTTTGAACCTAAAATTTAAATTCTTCCCATATCCTCTATAGTTGATTCAAGATTTCACATTAGAAAGTTATGAGTATTTTACTTCACATTCAAATATTTTTAGAATGCATTGTCTTAACTCCTATTTTCTATAAACATCAGATTCAAACAAAGACACCTCGTTAAGAAATGAGCACCTCTAGGTTTCGAAACGACGTTATCCCAATGTAACCTTGACATTGTGCAACGTTCAGGCACAAACAGAAGATAAGACGAGAATAGTACCTCCTCTGCGATTCGTGAATTAGTCTCCATGGAATCTCATGACCCATATTTCCACATACCAGACACTCTAGCAACTGAAAAATTTGAGGCAGAATGTCCATTAAACATGGACAATCTGAAGTGAAGATTACGATTTGAAGATTAGGTATCTCACACAAATTTAGTACAGATTACAATTTTATTTTCAAAAATATTCAATTTTTTATTTCAAAACAAAATGTTTACGTATTAGTCTTCATTTCTCGTGATATATTAATATTTCAGGAATAACATTTTAATGTATTAAATCGTCCACAGACTGCAAATTACGACGACCTCCGTTACCGACATTGTTTGAAATTCATTAATTTATTACCATATTCAAACGGGCCCTGAATAATTAATCACGAATTATCGAACACCAGATAAATCGAGATTCCCCAGTGTTAGTTTTCGTCCTCCATGTTTGCCTAACAGACGACACACATGCATCACTATTAATTTCCGTAGATTGGCACTTAATAATGCTGGGCTCTCGACTCGTCTCTTGGAAGTTTTCAGTAAAACGGAACTTCGTAATGTCCAAGCTATCGGACGTTTAAGTTAAAAAAAAATACAAACTATTTTCTTGGGATCCGCATCTAATTATGAAAACACACACTGAAGTGTTTTTACGATCACTGTCGTAAGCCTCTGGAAACTTCAAAACTTTCGGAATGCAACAAATTGACAGCGCAAACCGGGAAATATTCCTGAACCCATGTGATCCCTTACCGTTGCCAACGGAGAACGCCTGATGTAAGACGAGATAAGGAAAGTGTAACTAGAGATCTTCGAGGTGACGCACGGAGCATGGAATATAATGCGATGAAAACGACAATGATTTTATCCATGTTATCCTTATGAGTCCTCACAGTTCCTCAGAATTAAAATTATAGGCACGTGACAACCATAGTATATTTCGCGCCAAATGACGCATCACTCATTCAAAAGATGTTGATTGTTCTTTATTCGTCATATTACAAATATTCGTCAAATATAAAATGGAAGTAACTTTGGCACGATCATATCGATCATACTTCGATCATATATCGAACTGAGCACGCTTGAAAGAAAAAAGCTCAACATTTCAATCCTCACAAAAACACACAATGAAATTTATATCAAGACTTACTATAAACTATGTATCAACATAATTACTGTATAAATATCACAGAGATATCGAAGTGTGAATGACTGGTGAAATATTAGGTGCTATACTGAAAATCTAAAATTATCATGAATTAGAATTAAATATTATATACAATATTATTTTGATCTCCCCACAGTCTTACTACAGTAGTTTGCCTTTCGAACAAGTTGAATTTCCGATCCTCTTCCATCCGTGGTATGCAAAGGAGTTCCAGCCATTAAATACCACTGTGCATGGCGAAGCAATAAAAAGTGCAGCGCTCATCTGGCGTGACAAGCTCAGCGAATGCATTGGAGATACAACAGTAATAACATTACGCGTTGACATGAATACATGCTCCTCGATGAGACGAGGTCCCAGTGTGGCGACAATGAACTACGGCACACACAATAATATTCTAGTGTTTTGGAAAGATTCTACCCTACTCTCAATATACTTAAAAACAAATGAATGTGGAATGCAGTGCTCCCACATATCGAGTCAAGACCAATTTGAAAAGGAACTAGAAGTACTAAACCTAATTTTACAGACATAAAATTTCCATATTTGATTTACTTTCACTAATGCTTTCTTCTGAGAACTATTAAGTAAAGAAAGTCACTATATAATTAAACTGTAGATGTGTGACATTACATCCAACTTATAGAGAGACCTAATCTTCGCATGTCAAACCACGGTCAATAGGTACAGTGCGGGTAGACTAAATCATGTGAAGGCGATCTACGGATAGTGACAAAATGATTGTAATAGAAAAATTAGAGCATTATCAGTATATTAATATTACATCGCGGTGGGTTGACTTTACACAGATTAAAATAAACTACTTCTAGAAAACAATATCAACGCTCAACATACTTCACGCCCAATTGAGAAGACTGATTTGCTGTTTTCGTGGAAATTACACCGTTTACGAGACGTTTCTGAAGTATGAATGACAGGATCTACGAATTTGAAGCAGCAATCCGTAACTTGCAAGTATGCGCAATTATACTCACCACTCCTGCGCTATATTCCAGTGTGACAATTCACTCGACAGACAACACGTTGATTGCTATGTCCAAAGACATACGAGACAACATACGATTCATTTTGGGTACAAGAGAAAAAGAACTTACCAGGTAGTCTACTTCATAATCGTAGAATATACTTATCGACTTCACATAATTTATTCCCATACGTTCTGATACTTTTGCTAATAGAGGATAGCTCACGAACAATTTACCTAGGTGACGAATGAAATCTTTTTAACAACCTTGAGTGACGCCTCGGTATCTTAGACATAAAACTGTAAACATCACGCATAAGCGAGGCAACTCACTCGCACCCTGAACTCTCTATCAGTCGTCTGTTGTCAGTTATGACACAAACTGTTTTTAAGAAAACGTATAAACCAGTTTTGTTTAAGACAATCCAATGGTAAGTTCTATATTCAATTAAATTCAGACACCTTTTCGTGGACTGTGTTGTCCCTTTCACATAGTAACACGAAATAAACTGCCTCGCAATGACAAGCGACAACGTGAGTCTCGCCAATAACCGGCCACTCGTAAAGCACTCTCATAATGCGAGCGTAAACGTCAATCAGAAAGTTTCTTCCGAAGCGGCCTACAGGGAAAATTGTTCAGCGATCACACCGAACTGACAATGTCGCACCATTTATTAGCGCGTAAACGTCGATCTTAATTCCCGGTGCGGTGGCAGCGTCCAGTCCCCCGCGCGTTCAACTCTCTCAAGATTGACGGTCAGCAAAACATTGCCCGCCCCTCAGCAGAAAAGATTCTCCATAAGGAGATCGGATCAGAAAGCTAAGAGAAGAAGAGACAACTTTCTTTTCTTAGGATTTACACTCCTATTACTTGTACTCCTATCCCTTTCCTCGCTGCTTATGACTAGGCATAGCTCTGATCGATGTTCTTATACAGATATAATCATAAGAAATACAGATAACCTTTCTGCTACTACACTGACGTTCAAAATGGAAGTACATAACATCCTCTGGATCTTTATGGAAACAGCATCATCAATTCTGATTAACACTCAGGGTGCCAGGCTGTCAAACGAGCAGCTACACCGTGAGGACTGAGGCGCAGAGGATGTTAAAACACCTGTGAGATGATTCGATTATAACGATAGCAAATTTAATTATCACATAACTCAATTATGAGAGAATTTACAAGTATGCTCATAACTCAGTAGTACACATATTGAAGTTATGTCATTTCGGAAGTGGTTTCTATGCATATTCGTTTCATCTCCAATAGACCTTTTAACTGTTTCTCTCATCCAATGACTGTTCTTGGAAACTTAACATTCCCTCAACCCAATATAGTAGTTTTGTGACTACCATTCTTGGTCCCTCGCGGGCCTCGCAAAAGTCCCGCTCCCCTCCCCCCCGCGTTAGCAAATAATTCAAGAGGAAACTCACCCGTAGCATGACAGAGCTCCGGCGGCACGCCCGTGCCGGCCATCTGCGTGACGGCGAGCAGCAGGTCGCCCACCATGAGGCAGGCCACGTGCGCCGTCTGGCAGCGCCAGTGCAACGCGTGGTGCGCGCCGGGCAGCAGGCAGCCGGCGGCCAGCGTCGCGGCCAGGAAGAACACGGACAGCATCAGCCCCACCGGGTAGAGCGTGAAGCGCACGTCGTCGGCGTCGGGGTCGGCGACGGGGCGCACCGCGGCGGCGCCGGCCAGGATGCGCGCGTGGCACGCGAACGCGCCGGGCGGCGCGTCCACGCCCACCAGCGGCGACCCGTTGCGGCACCACCAGCATCCGCTCCACGAGAAAGTCGCCCGGAAGAGCGCGGACGGCCCGGCGGCCGCCAGCACCACGACCCGTCTTCTGCAGTCGGCGTCCCGGCCGCAGCGCGCCCGCCTGCACGAAGTCGCCCGTCGCACGGCGCGGGACGCCTCGGCAGCGCGTACGCGCGCGGGTCCACGGCGCGGCGGGCAGCGCGCCGTGCCGGGCGAAGCGCCCCTCGCAGCCGTGCTGTTGTGCCGGGCACGAAGGTGGCGCGTGCGGGCAGCACTTGCGCACCACCGGGCCCGGCGCGGGCGTGCGCGTCCGCCGACGCGCCGGCCGCGAGCCCCTCGGGCTCTGCGACACGCACACCAGCCACCTGCGCGCGTCCAGGCAGTAGGCGCCCGCGCCGGCCACCACCATCGAGTACTCCGTGAGGTACACGGACCGTTCACACAGCACGTACGACGGCGTGGTTCTGTCTCCACGGCACGCCGGATAAGCCCCTGGTCGCGCCGGCCGCACCACGCCCACGCGCAGCTGCCATGCGGCAGATCTCGCGCGTGAAGTGGCCGCGCTCGGGGTCGTACACCGGCCGCCACTCGTGCAGCATGTCGTGCGGGTCGAACGTCACCGCGTGCAGGCGCCCGTACTCCGACGTCGTGTCAGAGCTCCTCGCCTTCGTCGCAGCACTTGAGCACCGTCAGCGCGCCCGCTCGTCCGCCGGCATGCCCGCACCGCATGGCACTTGCCACGGCCGCGCACCACCACCACACACGCCACCGCGCCACGCACATCGTCACTACCACTGTCACTGTCACAGAACGCCTTCGCTCGCTCCTACACCACCGTCGCACTGGGCACGTAGCCCGCCAGAGCGCCGCCGAAGCTTCGTGGGGCCGGCCGCTGAGTCAGCCGCATGCTGCGCGAGTCGCTACACGTCGCGGCCGTACCGTTCCGCTCGCCTCGTGAGCACCGACTGAGGAGGAAGGAGGCGTCGGAACGAGACGGCGGCGGCGGCGTGGGATACCCCCACCACGCCCCCTTTCCCTTCCCCCTCCCCCCGCCACGCGCGCTCCGCTCGCTCCACTCCGCTCAGGCGCCGCCGCCGCCGCCACAGCGACCGACGCAGCGGGCGGGCGGACGGGTGCGCGCGCGGCGTTGCCAGAACCTGTGGCGAATTTTTGGAAATCGTCGGCGCTTTTTTCGAGGGGCGAGACGCTGCTGTTACGGCGGGACCCGATCGGCGACCGGAGCCTCAAGAGGCTGTTGCCCTCCCAGGGGCTTTTCCTTCGCAACTGATGGCACTAAGCAAATATTACAGGAGTATTTGGTTACTTTGTTGACATTCCTTCGTAGAGGCACGCGTGAACGGAGTATGTGCATTTGTGCACTGGGAGAATAGGAACTGTTGCTTGTAAAAGCCATGCAATTGCGAATACTACAATTTCATATTGTTGTTTCTTCTCCAATGCGTTTGAGCAAAGTCCATTTTCAATAAATAAATTATTTAAACTATTATTTAAAATTGCATTTATTACGTTTCAATGAAAATCATGAGCAGAAAAACAAATCACTCTTTATCTTATACTATCAAAAAACCATTCATCTATTGCTTTACTGAGTTCCAATTTACCACATTCCACCTTTCTATTCCTCTATAAATGTTGGAATGTCCTAAATAACTGCAATTAAAATTAGGGAAGCAATGGATAAACAATCAACTAGCATGGCATACCTTAAGGATAATTATTCTCAGTAAGAATCAGATATTAGTACATTTCGCGAATGTATTATACTCTAGTGGTGAGGTAATGTCCATTTAATCTGCGATGTAGAGGAGAAACAGTGTTACAAAGGACAAGAACCTAAATATTATCACCGAAGGTAACCATGGATCAAATTTTGTCATCTGAGTGCCTATTTCCAACTTAAATAATTAAATATTTACGTTTGTACGTTACGTTAAATATAACGTTAAATTATTCATTTTCTATGCTACACGTGTGATGATTGAATGTTCATTGGCCATATCGATGAACTGAAAAACTAATACATTTTTTGCAGAGGCTGATGCAATACATTTTACTGAAATGTCTACAATTCAAATAAGTATTTAAATTGAAATACGTTTCGCATATTTAAACATTATAATGTATTGAGTAAACATTCTTTCCTAATTATATTATTAGATATCTTTTGTAAGACGAGTGCTCATAATTCAAACAATATGTAACTTTTGTAAATTATTTGTCTTATTTGCCAAAACATTGTGGTTTAAAGTGCTACCAGTGCTACGAGATGTTATATATTAATTTTTGAAAGTGAAAAATGTATTTGGCAAATACGTCAACAATGACGTAAGGCTTCGTACGATGAAGTAAAGATAGATGAGCGCCGATTACGTAAGTGAATTTTATGAACCAATTAGAGCATCAAAATAGACGTTTTATGATAACATAAAAGTATAAGATACACTTTTTTTATCAACGAGTATATTCACCGAATATCTTATATTCAGCCCGCGGTATAGCGAGATGGGTAACCACTTCTTTCGTGGGGAGGCAATGAACTCCTGGCAGTTATTTTGCATTCTGCCACGAGGGAGGGCCAAACGTGCCCTCTGAAATCCACACATGCGAGACGACATTTCGCCATAAAATCCTTCCTTTCCGCGCACTCCCGATAGGCAGAACACGTCCCGGGGGCACATGACGTGCGAAGCGCGCCCAACGAGGTTGAAGTTGGGAGAAGGACCCACCCGGCACACGGAGGCGCCATCTGTCCTCTCGAGCCGGGGGTGGGGGGGTCACCCGAGCGGAGAGCCGCCCGCTATTGCCCATCTCCCCTCCCCTTCCTTACCCGTTTCCGCCCAAGTCTCGTCTCATCCCTCCGCCCTCCACCACCGCCCCCACAACCTCCACCAACTCGTACCTCCTCCTCCTCTCGCCCCTCCACCACCTCGCTCGCAACCAAATTCGCAACCTCTTAGGAGACTTTGAATTATTTAGAGCTTCATTGGACATATCATCAGCTGTTACGGTGCCACCCAATCGGGAGGAAGAACGTTGCCATAGTAGCGTCTCTGTAGTGACGTCACTATGGTGTAGTTCAACCTCCCCATTGGATGACACCGTAACAGCTGATTTACGTCAACTGACCCTCTGGTTAAATCCAAGCATAGAGACTTCCTCTATGTCACCTGCTCCCAACGGGGCCAGTAACGACCCCCCCCCCCCCGGGTGTTGAAGACATTTCAGAGGGGATCAATGATGATCGGGGTTCTAGAATCGAATATGCCCCGACTAAAGATCAATAATGATCCCATTTATTACAACACATATTTATAAGTTGTATTATTATTATTATTATTATTATTATTATTATTATAAAGCTACAAAACGCTTATTATAATTCACAAATTGTCTCATATTTAGAAATTTCACATCTCTAACATTAATCAAATAAAACATTGCTGTTCTATCAGGATTATAATTAATATGTGATTATTTTTGAAAACTTGTTTGTACAGAATGTCCGGGAAGAAAAAGTCGAAACTTTACAAATAAGCTCTAAACACAATTTTAAGCATATTTTGTCTAACTTATAAACTGCAGGCATATTCCGAATGGTTGAATTGAATTGAATTGAATTTGCCTTATTTTACGTGGCGAGACTCGGGCCATCAGGCTTCCGGCTCGGGCTTCCGTCTGACCACGCAAATTTCGCTACGCTCCTTTCACCAACTAGGAGAGAAAGGAAGTATTTCTTGGGCGAGAAACAGGCGATTTGAATTTAGCTCAGAGGCGTCATTTAGACTTGAGGATCTTTTAGATGCAAGTAAATCTACGAACATGGGACAGCCGGCTTTACTTCCCCTCCGAAGGAAGGCGTACGAAGGATTTTTTCGCCCTTAAAAATCCACGGCTTCGATCGGGTTTCGATCGGGCTCGATCGGGCGACCCGCCAACTTGGGTACAACAGTCCAGTACGCTAACCGTTACACCATCGCCACCGCCAAATGGTTATCTTTCTGCAACTACATTATTGAAGATAGAATGTTCTTAATAAAAAATTGAAAAATGTTTGAAAATATATGAAGTGTGCTGGCAACTTTGCGTGAAATAAAGATAATTTATTAAATTAAATAAAGAAATTAAAATTATATAAAATTAAAGTCAAAATGTACTAGGTATTTTAAAATATTTTAAAAACGCCTTAAAGAAATACACTGTTAAGTTATGGGATCATAAGGTGAAAACTTCACGATCAAAACTCCATCTCGTAAGAAAATCTTTTACAGATTTAACAATTCGTAATGTTCATTTGTAGAAAGAAGGGAACAACATGTTATAACAAGATTAAGAATAGGCCATTCTTTGCTCATCCACTATCAACTAATGAAGAAAACTAACTGAGCCGCCTTCCCAAAATGTGGAGGAATTTTATCAACAATTCACATTATCCTACAATGTTTAAATATTCAAAATATGAAATAGACTATAAGCATTAAACAATCTACATGGAAATTTTAATTCAATTGAAGGCAATTAATTATTGTTTAAGCTTAATTTAAAAACAAGATTGCGCAAGGAACGCTTATAAATTTGGCACAGGTCTAATGTTCGTTGAACTCTCGAATTTTCGAAACTTGCAAAAGTTCTAAATAATGCAAGAACGTGTGTTGCAGCACCACTAGTTTTAGTACTCGTATGAGTAGGCCATGGAACAAATATTGGGAAAGTTTACGTTCTTACCCCAAAACTTACATAAAACACAAACATTTACATTTGGAAATTCTAATTCCACTAACGATACTTGATCTAAACTCAAGAAACCCGTTTTTACAGTGAAGAAAGATGTCAAGAAAATTCACACTTTAATGCCTAAAATAAAGATTTAAAAGAATGGTACCATATTCGATTTCGGCTTTACAACATGGTTTTCTGTAGGTGTTCCGGTGTGTGCATATAAGCATAGGCAAGCCCCCGCGTACAGTGGGTTGAGAAACGAGCAGCGTGGCAGAGGGAGGAGGGGGAGGGAGATGACGTGCTAAAGGGCCAAGGGGCGCGCAGGTAGAGTCCTTAGCATGAAAGGCTGGGCATATCCTTCTTGCAGCAAACTGTTTTGTACTCCTTCGGCTCTTTTGTAGTCACTGGGAGCATAGTACATATTGAAGGAAATACCCTTCTGGGAATAACCTCATTGGAAATGAAGACTTTCTGTGCTCACAGCCATATTGCAGCTAGAAATAAGGAAAATACTTAGAAATGCCGGAAGCAGGATTACATCGAGTCCTAGGGAAAAGGAAATAGCGAATTACAACTTCCTGTATTAGGTATTGTTAAATATATATTAAATAACCATTACTAAATTACTTACTATGTTTATTTTACTTACGTCACTGGTTATACTTTAAAAATGCTGATTGAATAAGTTCTAGATTTTTTTCCTTCAGCAAAACTACTGTGTAGGTAATCTCTTTGCCAGGATGATGAAGCCATCAGATGAAGTTTGCCGATGAATATTGCAGAGGACGCACACACTGCAACCGGCTGGAAAACGTTCCCGACTGGCCATTAGACAACGTTATCACCCAAATTTAATATTTAGTCTTAAATAAGGATTAGGGTTTAGCCTTCATTTATTTACAATTTTAGTATCACAAGTATCACGTCATTTCAATATGTCCCCATCGAAATGTTTAAAAATGAATTACACGAAGTAATTTACTCACACTAGAAAAAGAAGTTCCACACAAATCATGAAAACATCGAAATAATTACACTTAAGTTTAAAAATGAACAAAAAATTTATAAAAAAAATATAAAAAACTGTTAATTGTTCATAATTAGTTCACAGGTTAGCAACGCAAATATTAAACGATAAATCACTTTAAACTACGTATTCTAATGTTCATTCATCCTAAAATAGATTATGGCCGTGAGCAAATACTTTGAGCCAGGTGGATAGTGTTGCCAGC